GAGATTCTCTATCAATTATTTAGGCAATGCCACTACTTCTAGGCTTCCTAGAGCAGTTTGGAACCCCATTGTCCAACATTTTTATTTCAAGCTGGATATTTAGAAGGATAAATTCCTTTCTTTGGGAATAAGAATAACTTTGATTAGATCTACGCTTTTAAATTTACGTATTTATCAAATGTCTCTTATGTGTATGTCCAATGTTAGAATACTTGAATGGTTGATGAGGAATTTCCTTAGGGGAGACTTTGATGGAGGTAGAAAGTTTCATTTAGTTAGTTGAGAGAAGGTTTGTACTCTAAAGAATGAAGGGGGATTGGGCATGAGGTCTTTGAAGCTTATGAATTATGATTATTGGCTTAATAATGGTGGTGTTGAACACTAGTGGATGATCAACTTTGTAGGCAGGTGCTTGTGCTAAATATGGATTGGATAGGGACTCTATTTTCATTTATATTAGTATAAGTGGTAATTGGTAGTCACAGGTTTGGAAGAGCATTGTGCGAACAAAATCAGTAGTGGAGAGGAATATGCAGTGATCGTTGGTAAAGGGGACAACATAAGTTTTTGGCATCATAAGTAGTTAAGCAATGGTCCTCTCAAGTTTGGTTTCCTAATGTGTGTACAATTGAATTACTAATCCTTGTGCCAAGGTTAGAGACTTAGTAATAAGGACTGGTTTTAATATTAATTGGAATATTGTGTATAGGTATAATGGAATATTTAATGTTATTGTTCAATTTTTTAACCTCCTGCAAATGCTCATGGATAATTATTTGCCTCTTGTGCTGATGATGAGTTAATATGGGAAAGAGATAATTGTGATCATTTCTATGTGGAGTCGGTGTATTACTTATTATTTCATGATCGGTGGAGATGGGCACAACCAAACCTATATAAAATTTAGAAATGGCCTATTCCTCATAAGGTACAAGCTTTTTTGTGGACTACCATGTATAATCTTTAAAAAAAGGCGAAGATTTTTGCTAATGTGTGTTTGAGTGTTTGATGTGTAAAGAGGAGATGAAGAGAATGACAATTGTCTTTTCCTTCATTGTACTTCTTTTTTTAATATTTGGGCTTAGGCTTTTCAAAGAATGGGTATTGTATTTCTTTACCAAAGAGCTTCCACAAAGATTATTTATTAAGTGGGTCTTCCAAGGTTGGGTAATGTGAGGAAGTAATTTGGAAAGCTTTTTGGGCAGCCAATGTTTAAGAGGTGTAGAAAGAAAGAAATAAAAGAACATTTGATGGGGTTATCTTGAATGAGGAAGTTATTAAAAATAAGATTTTGGATTAAACTTGGGAGTAGGTCTCTGTAGCTAAAGAAGTACAGGTTTATGAAAGTTTATTTTTTAGTGAACATGAAGAACGTTGAGCAACTCAAGCCCAAGACGTATTGGGGAACTCCCTCCATTTATGGGTGTCTTAAGTTAAATTTTGATGGTAGTTCTATTAGAAACTTAAGCCCGGCAAGAGTGGTACGCAATGATCTAAGGATTATCTTATTCTCTTACTTTGATCCATGTGGTTATGATTTTAGAATTGAGGCCGAATAGTCATCCTTACTTCAAGGTTTAAAGCATATACAAAAGCGACAAGTGGGGCATGCAGTAATTGTCAAAAGAGATTCCCTTAAACGCTACTAATCGCAACAATACGGTGCAAAGATTACCCTGCGGTTTAGGTATTTATTCCTTCAAATATTGGATCTCGGAAGTGTCATGGAGCTATCCTTTGGACATATTAATGATGAGGCTGATGGCCTTGCAGATGATCTTGCGAAACAGGGTATCTCTTAGTTAATTCTTGTGATTTGTGATGGAAGTTAAGGATACTTATTTTGAATGCTTATAATACTCATCTTTAATAAATAAAATTTCATGATTTCTAAAAAAAATAAGAAGGAGAAGAGAAGGAGTTCCCACAACACCTCAAAACAGATTTTTGAGGTGCGATGAACACCAGGTTTGGTGTCTAAAGGGAAAGGAATACGCACTTAATCCTCTTAAATAATCTCTCTTTAATAAATCGCAAAAAGGATCATTTTCATTTCGATTTTAATAAAAGCAGTTCCAAAGATTGGCGTTGACTTGTAGATACGTCTTCCTAGATTTTTTTTCTTTTTTTTCTAGAACATATATGAGATTCTGCACTACTTTTTAAAAGAAATTCACATAAAATCTCGGGATTTAACTGTTCCCTTTTAATAATTTATGCTCTAGTTGTACTTTTTTAGACCACATATTGTTTTTAAATTTTATTTCATCTCACCTTAAAAAATACAAAAAGATAGTTTAAAATAAACAAAATGACCAAAATACTATTGAACCTTGTAGTAGTATTTTGTTAATTTTATTATTTAATTATTTTTTATTTTTTATTGGTGGTGAGCACCATGGACTCCCAAATTTTAAACTTACTCGAATATATAAAAAAATAAAATTAAAATGCAATAAGCGCTATCAAAAGGTAGGGTTGAACGTAAAGTACAAATATCTAAGGGACTTTATGCTCTGATAATGAAATAGAAATTGGAAAATTTCCATATTCTATATCTTCATTTTCGTATTCCCACCCATAGATGGGTTGAAATATTAGATATCGTGCATGGATGGTCAGATAGCAAACCTTTGGCGCAAATAACAATCCCCTTATTTTCTTTTTTGCTTTGACTTTTGTATTTTTGCTGCCTTAAAGGGTCATTTCTATCCAAAACTTTTTAATTCCCTTTTTCAATTGAGATTGTATACTATGAGACCATTTATCTATGATGTAAGGAGGTCACAATTACTTCTAACGAATAGATGCTAAATTAAATGGCTTGAGGCGTGTCATGAAATTCGATTTTTTTTTTTTTTTTGAACTTTAAGTTTCATCAATAACACTCTTACAAGCACTGGATTTGAAATTCAGTGGACAAAAATGACTTTGACCTCCTTGTACCAAAAGTAAATGATCTATTTGTATACATTTCCTTTTCAATTATATCTTCTTTTTAAATATTTTTGTGCTTTAATTGCCTTCTATGAGCCCCGATATTTATGGTCTCACATAAGGGCCAGTCCTAAATAACATTAGAACCACAAAGTATCTTGTTCATTTTCTCAAGCCTAATTGCTCGCTGTGAATTATTTGTGCCGGTTTGATCCTTTTTAATCTCATTTAATGTACATTGGATATCGAGTATAAACAACTTATGATGGGGGCTATTTTCACTTAATGAACTACTTTCCACTGTTCCTAATGAAAATTAAGAATCTTCAATGAATATCTATAATTCTATATCTTTTGAAATTAATGGAATTGATTCATGTATATGGTAAGAAGAATGACATTCTAAATGATTTAAAAGGTGTGGTTTGTATAAGGTTACAACCTTAAACAATCCAATTAAGGCGCACCTCCAAATTTTATCTTAATATGTAATTTTCGTGTAAAAATTATTAGGATTATCTGAAAATTTAATTTAATCTTTAATTATAAAATTTTAAACTCCAAAAATGGTTAAAGTCAAGTAGATCTATAAACATATGAAGATTTAAAAAATGAATGGTTTAGATAATGTGCCACAAGATGACCTATTTCTGGAACTCTTGTCGAGATGATCAATTAGAGAGTTTTTCAACCTTTTCCGATGGATTTTTAAGTGCATCTTTAATTCTACATTTTAGTATTGCAACCTTATATAAACTTTTTCGTAACTTAAATGATGCGGCTGAATCATTTTTGATAGGAGAGGATAGTTTTGGCATAGTTGGGGACTTATCAATGCAATCTACATCCAAAAAATACTTATCAGACCAATGTGGTTCTCCTCTCCATATTTTGATATTCAAATAGGAGTCTCTATCATCCAAAAAGAGCATTGTGCAATAGCTGTAAACTAATTTGTCCAGAAGAAATATCATGGAAGCAGAACCATTGCTGAAGAATTAGTATTTCTATCCCAGTAGTCCTCTGAAGATAATAAAACAAATTCACTCCAGAAGAAAACAATTTCCTGTTCGTTTGGCGTCGGTGATGACTACAAACAAATATCAAGAAAAAACACTTCCAAATGTTGGAGATTTACCTACCAGATATTCTATGGCCAACTATATTTTGCATTGTTAAGTGCGACATGAAGTAAAATCTCGGAAGAGTCCCCCAAAACGAACAATAATAAGAATATCGTTCATTAATCAATATTCAATAATTAACATGTATTTAATACTATTAAGAATATCGTTCATTAATCAATATTTAACAATTAACATGTATTTAATACTGTATATCTTTGTCAACACACACATGGACCATCCTAAAATATACCATTCTAATGAAGTTGGCAAATCTTATTACCAAAATTTAGATCATAAAAAAACCCTTGTCTTGTATTGCTCACATTATTAAAGTAGCGCCTAATGTAATTTGAAGACATCTCAAAGGTCCTCCTAAATAGTAGGCGAGAATCATGCCATAGAGAAGCTCATTTGAAATTCAGACTTGAGTTGCAGAGATATCAAGTGAACAATGTACATTCAAGCATTTAGGAAAATGCTGAAGAAACCAGGCCCACATCCTAATATAACTAAAAGGATAGCCTAAAATTTTGAAAAATACAGTGGGCTTTTCACACATTTATTGCGGTAAAAGGTAAAAGTGAAAAGTTTTCATCAATATCCAAAAGGAAGGAGAAGAGGAACCAAGGGAAAATTGGTTGGGGTATGATAGTCAATGATGTTTCCCATAAAATTTAAGCTATTTAACCAATAGAGATGCATCCATTAAAGACAACAGCAGATGATAGGCAAGCTTAATTTTTTGACTTGTCAAATTAAAGTGAAACATTTCATGCATATGACAACTCCCCACAGCACAAGACTGTTAGAAAAAGCTTTTATTTTTCTTTATTTTTCTTATTTTGTTTCTTAGCCTTGAACCTTCCCAGCCCATCCAAATGCAAGTGCCAAATTCATTGAGCACAATACAAAACTCTTACTGCTTGTACATCAAGAGCTTTCAACATAGACTAATGACCATGTACGTAAAACTCATAAGAGAGTAATTTCTTACATACTACGGGAGGTTTTTCTGATATCCATAAAGTAAATAGAAGCTACAATATCACGAACCTCTCTGTGCTCTCAAGACCTCATACTTCCAGAATATCTCAGTAAGCAAATCAACTTATGAGATATGCTAGATAGCACCAATTGATGGCAGTATCAACTTTTGAAGGCAACATAGAGATTGGTTTCTAGCGATTTCTCATTGATCAGATTTCAGTTGTTTGGCCCTCTCTTTCCTTTGCATTGTAGGGAACTCAAAATGTCGCAGTGCCAATGCCTGAGCCACATAAGTGAAGAAGCCATGATTTCCTCCTGATTAACCTTGGGAGGACGAGTACGAAGAGTGTCTGATGGCTCTCTCACATTAGACGGTGTTTGTAGGATGCGGTTATAATACCCTGATATTCCATAACCATATTGATCTGTGTTGAGAGTTTTTTCGTGGTTAACTTTCCTTCTCTTGGTAAAAATGTCATCATGACCTTCAATCCACGTGCCTAACCGTCTTCCACTATATGCAAAGGATTGAGTGGCATCATGAGATGGGGAAGAAGAGACCTGCTGAGGGGTTTGCATAACCTGTGGTTCTTCGGGTGAAATTTTATCCTGCAAGATTACTGTTACTTATTTCAGGTATATTGCAGAGTAAATGGGGATGAAACATCATTAACATTTATTAGCTCTGACTGTAGTGATGAGGTGCAATTTGTATTACATTTGATCCAAACGAAATCAGAATCTCAGCAACCATGAAGGCGAACATGAAGTCAATCCAACAAGCCTAGTACCATGAAAATAGCAAAGGAATTCATGTTTTGAATCCATCCATAATAACAAGAGTTTGATGATCAGCACATATAAAAGGGTCCAGAAACCATACATCAAGAATGAAGGTGCATGAATAAGATGCCTAAGTAACTTCTGTTGGCACTTCAAAATTCAAATCACATGCTCTGTACATGATGTGTATCTTATCATCCAATAGACTCGACACTGACTAGATTCTAGTCATTGTTTTCATAAGCATGTGACTTCTTGACATAAGGCCTGTTTCTTGATGTCAATTCTATGAATTGTCATGCTAAAAGCATGTGACAAATATAAATTCTGAATCACAGATATCGGCTGACTGTCAATCCAAAACAATTCATATGCTTGGAAAGAAATCTACAATCTGTCAGCCAAAATTTTTTTTTTTTTTCTTATTACAACGAGGGATTTTGATATGCCTGTGAGGAAATATTAGCTCTAAAAGGGGCCATTTGGATCTTTGGAAAAAAGAATCTAGGATTTTAAAAACTTAAATTTAGAACAGAAATCCTATTTGGCACCAAAATTTGGTATAAAATTCAGATTTCGTCAATCCCCACTTGAATCCAATTTCAGGATTTGCCAATCCGAAAACAAGACACGGCATTTCCCAATCTGAGGATTTGCAAAAACTGCCAGATTATTCTTAGGGCCAGCACAGTAGGATCCTCAACCCATTCACCTTCCTCTCTCTCTCTCTCTCTAAACATCATCTCTCACTCACTCAATCACTCTATACCCGTATTCTGCAGCTTGCTGAATTTCTTAGATGGGACACACATCTCAAAAGCCTCATTCCGTCCAGTTTCATGTTGTTTGGTAGGCTTTAATATCTGTCTCTCTCACTTAATTTTATTTTTCTGGGGAACAAAATGGCGGTGGGTTTGGAGGAAAATCCCAAGGGCTTTTTCATATTATCAGGTTTTCTCTTAACCAGGTTCTAGAGTGTTCCTTTCCCTGAACTAGTCTGCTTTTTCAAATCCTCTAAGGCAATGAAATTACCATTTTCTAAACAGCATGGCCCAATGTCAAAAATAAAATCTCTATTTCTCTAAACAGCATTTCTCTATACTACTAACTTTTAGTAATTCTTATTTTTAAAAATCTTTTACTAAGTTTAGTAATTTTTCTTAATTAGTTAAAACACCTATATTTGAAAAATCCATTTTTGAAACTCTTTAAAAAAACTCCCTTAGTTTGGAAAATTCGTTACTAATTTTACTAATTCACTTTGAACCCCTTTAAAAGGTTTCCTTAGGTTGAAATCGACAACCGTAAATGCTAGCCACTTAAGCCTTTCTTAGATTAAAATTTACAATAATATTATGGGCGCGGTTTCTAAACAATCAAAGTAGAGCGCACCTTCAAGTAGTGCCGAGCAATGTGATTTCAATACTGGAAATCTTTGTGATAGTTAATCATCTCTAATTACAAAATTTAATACTTCAAAAATAGTGTAGATCGAGCAAATCTATGAAAATCTTGAAAATTGACGGTCCAAAAATGCATTACAAGATACACTGTTTTCAAACTCGAATCCATTTTTTTTCTCATATCCAAGCATCTTGATGTCGAGATGATGAATTTAAGGATATTTGGGTACCAAAACAACTTCTTCTAGTGAAATTTTTGAGGTGCGGTCTAATTTGATTGGCTCTATATAAACTTTTTCCTAAAAATATTTACATACTATATATTCAACAATTCTATAGTGAAGCACATACAATACGCAATATATGTTAAACACATTTCCATGATGAAAATTTCATCTAATGTACATCTCTTCAACAAACAAAATACATAGAACTAGAAGATAAACGAGTGACAATGGGGTTCAAGTTCTTCCTGGGTCTCGTTATCAATGTTGAAGCCCCTGCAAAACAAGAATGCTCATTGAATTAATCCCCAAGCCATAGTCTCGAAGACTTGCCAGACCCTCATGCTGCCTCCGGATCCCATCACAATGGGAACTTCCCCCACCAATGTCCGTCTTGCTCCTCAACACCTTGACTAGGTAGCTGGATGTGTTATTTGCCATGATGCTCAAATGCTGATTGAGATGCTCAATAATTGTGCTATGATACCATGCTCCATCTCCCTATCTCATACGGTTGCGAACCACCTCGGTCCTCCTCCTCACTAGTGCTCCCACCAACCTGTCCCCCCTCAGCCCCATCCACCTCTCTCTCCTGCATATTCCCCAGGATGGTCCATTGGGCTTCGCTTGCTCATGCTCTACCAACCATTTCTCAGAAAGGTCCTGGAATATATAGTCCACGATCATTGGGTTATAACTAGCGGGTTCCTTTTCTAGCATCCTCTGCCTTAGGTTGAGATTACAGTGCACATAAAACAACTGATGCAGCCTTGGAGTATGAATCCACCAGAACGTACTCTAATTCCTCTCATATCCAGAGGAGGAACAGGTTTGGCTTATGACCCTGATTGCGATCTTCTTCAAGTGTGGGGTTTGGAGTCCATATAACTCCCACTATGCAGTAAACTACATTATTGCCGAACTATTGAAATATACTGACTGAAACTTATCTCTCAATGCATTAATTTGGGCATGTTCATCAGGCTCCAGTCTATCAATACAGTACTTCACACCACACATGATCTTTGCGTGCTCGTTCTGACCTGGTCTATAATGATAATCTAAGCTAAAGAAGAAGCCGTAATACAATGTTACATAAACATAAAAATCCCAATAAAAATAAGAAATAAACAGTTAAGTGTAAAATCAAACTTTAAATTTAGAGTTGCCTACTGCGTGTATCTTGTGTGCAACTTGATGGCCCACCTTTAATCGATAATCTCCTAGACCTTTTCATGAAATGTACGGTTCTCCTTGATGGCCTGTTTTGCTCAGTCTAGTGCCTCACAGAGTAATCCCATGGTTGGCCTCAGATCAGAATCAACCAACCTCAGTACCAGCATTAGTGGTGCAGTATCCCAACCCCCCTCGTTGCATCTAGCCAAGAATCGACGGCTGCCAATAATCTTCTGAACCTCCATTCCAACCTCACTCATCCTTTTATTTTAGGTTTCCACTCTGCTCATGCCAACTCTCTTAATATCCTTGACCACTTTAGGATCAACTCGATAGTCAAATTTTTCATGGTAAACCTTGTGATGACAGGTCTGATGAGATCTCCATCAAAGTGTGTTTTCATTAAAGCAAGGATGTACGAGTGGTTGTATATAAATGCAATAACCATTTGCGTCTTCTTAATGCAAATACTCACCTCCTTCAATTTCCAATACACTCTAGCATTAATTCTATAGAGCAGGCGTCGCAAGGGATCCAAACTAAATGCAGACTCTTTTCCATCAAGAGCTCCCCTGCATTTACATAACTTTCGTGATTATCTATAATTAACTGCACCACTTTGTCTTCCCCAATATTTTCTACAACCTTATCAAGCTCCTTGAATAGTAGTCTACCTATCTCCTATTGTGGGAAAGATGTATACTATAGTGAGAAAATATTCACTTTGGGCAATAGATCAAAAAGTTTACTATGTCCCTCCCTCGTCCATTCTTCCAACCATCCATCATAAGTGTGACCCAGTATGATCCCATGACCTTTTAAATTCTTGGATGTATGATTCTACCAGGGCAATGTCATTATCAAGGAGCTTCGCTACAAGCTCATCTACCGTTAGGGGCTTGGCTTCTAGTCGGGCTTCAACTATAGCAGTTACCATAGATCGCTAATATGGGGACTTACAAGAGTGAAATGGGGTGGTGGTGCGATAAAAAAACCTCATAATTTCCTTCTTCATTTCTTCTAGCTTTTGGCCCCCATGAGAGATTCAGTTTTCACTGATGATAATGGGGCCTATAGCAATCACATTTAGAGGACTCGCATCGATGTGGGGGTTAGGTGTTGGGGTCGATGTAGGATTGAGGGTTGAGTTCAGGATGGGGTTGGTATGTGGAATATGGCCAACCAGTAGCAATGTGTCGGGATAAGAAAGACCCTCTCGGTCTACTAGAATTTGATCTAAGTAGACCATGGCCATACCCTCCCATGCCAAGCACCTCAGGCTCAGGAGGTACTATAGGCTTCAGAGCATGACTATTAGACGCTCCTGCCTGTCTAGCAAACATCTCGCCGATATGCATCTACCTCTTGCTATACTCTGTTATACTAGCCTACTTAGCCTGCTCTTTGAGGCTCAAACTCTGCCTCCTCATCATCGGGAGTGGGTTGACAAAATCCCCTCCCTACATCTTTAATAATCCTCTCTTTTGTAGTGGCTTCTTCCCTTTTACTATCTCAATTGCCATTTGAATATCCTTCTTGAAAAGTACAGATACCTTGCCAATGTGGTTGTATCGAATTTGGGGAGGGTGATGTTTCAAGTGATCAATGCCACCGTCAACTCCCTCCACAAAAATTACGCCAAACCACCCCTTCCCCTTCTCGATTAGCTTCTCCCTATTATGCCAAGCTAGATCCTCCCTCGTCATCGATTAGGCCTAGCATATATGCATGTTATATAACTGTTTCTCTTTAGAAAAATATTTCAAGTAAAACAAAGAATAAAATTTGGATATGCAAAACATTTACACCTAGCATATATATTACAAATTCCAATAATAAGACCTATCAATTAACTTATAAATATGTATCTAATATATATTACTAAACTATGAATAAAATATATTTGTCTTAACAATATATTATAACTAATATTTACTAGTTTAGTAATATACCTTTTTTTTTTTGAGAATGTTACCGGTTAAGTTTATAAATATACATTTTACAACAGTATATTTTGCAAAAT